CGATTAATGGCATCGCCAATCATATCAGCCACTTTCCCTTTCACAAACTTTCACCTGACCAGAGGGCGGAATTTACATGAGGTTAATGCAGGTTAGACAGCTGTTGTTTTTATTATGGCAAGAAAGCTATCTTCATGTAGGCGTCTCGCTAGTTCTTGTATAAGTATAAGTTGCAGTGATGAGGACGTTTTCGTACTTCTTAATCTTTCGAGCAGGGATATATGTAATTTCCGGACTTGTGTTTGATCATGAGTGTTATAACGACGGGTTCAGCGGCGCTAGTGTTATAAGGATGACATCTGACGCGTGTCACCGTCGAATTATGCCCTGTTGAAATCCCCAAGGAAAAACAACAAAAAGGGCATATTTCTGGAATCCACCCGGGGTAGGGTTTATTGTGTACAAAACCCGGAGGAGCTGTCTCAGGTGGCTGTTGCCGCTGGTTGATCACCAGCGTGCTCTTTGTCCCGCCTCGGGGTACATGCTCCGGCATTGGGAGCGGACTGTCGCCGCCTCGCGTCCGCTGTTGCAATTCTCTCTGAGTCAGGGGGACAGTGTCTTGTACGATAATGTCTAATGCGCGTTCGCCTGTAGCCTGATTAGCGCATTGAGACAACTGCGACCAGTGGTGCGCGCGAGCAAGCGCATGCATCTGTTTCCTCTCCAGAGGTTAAGGTCATCTCGCGTGGAAAGTCATCACCTGTATTCCGTCAGAGCTAACAAACAAAGACATTTGGCTAGGCTCGACGCCTCAGAGAAGCCTCCAAACGTTGCTAGCATTTGGTCCGGCTAATATCCTAACAATGAGAACCGTGGCAGATAAAGCCGTATGACCTGGAGTTTAACTGACAATATTATGCCGAAGTGTGCACAAACGGATAAGGTTGTGTTCTCGCCAAATGTGTAAAATTCATTTAAATGTGTCTGATGGAAACTACACTCACTTTGAAAGCAAGACTTGAAACAGGAAAAGGCATTTAAAATTCCCACAGCATTATGGTATTCAGCTTAATCGGAATACCGTTTGAGTGCTACCCGTCAATCCAGCGGAAAAGTCTTCTTTTTATTTGGAAGTAAGCTTGTGTTTTCTCTGCCCATGCATACCTTTAAGGTTGCTGTTCGCCCAATCTCCATCGCATAAGAGTAG